GTGTGTGTGTGTGTGTGGGGGGGGGGGGTGTGAGGGAGTGACACCCAAGAGCGGTCGCTGCCAGGCCTCCAGCCGCGAACGACCGCACGGGAGCATCTCATGCGATCGGAGCGGGGCGCGGGGATCTGAAACGGGGGAGAAGGGAGCGGCAGCCACGTGCCTGCCAGTGGCGGCCTCGCCCGCGCCAAGAGTAAGCGTCGCCTCCTCTGGCACCAGCAGCAGCCGCTCGCCCTCTGCAATGGCCTCGAGCGCCCGCACTGTGCGGTCCCCATCAACGCCAGCACCGAATAAATCGAGCTTAGGTGATACATATGCCCCTTGGCGCTTTAGCCACTCGAAAAAGGCCGCCTGCGCCATGGTGGCGTGTCGATTGATCTGGTCACCCAGCTCTTAGAGGTGTGAAAACAGTACTCGTGAAAAACTATAGAATGAAGGTGTCTCCAGAAGATGTGCTGCAATCTGAAACACCTGTAGTGCAGTTGGCAGCTGCGGCCCAGGTGGGTGTCGTGGCCAAGTCAGCCCCGACACACTGACTTTACTCCCTGTACAGTTGGTGCAATTTGCATTTATCAAGCCCGAGTCGATTGTTGACGATTGTGAACGCTGCTTTGCTTTTTAAACTGGTCGTCAGCCACTTGCTGTGTGTGTCACAGATCTGCCCCGTGCCGAGCCAGAGTTCAGCATGGCTCTAGCCCTCGGACAGCGCCAGGGGATGCATCGGGTACGTGCCATCTCACACGCATAGCTACGAGGCTGGTGTCTCCAGCGCTGGGGGATCCCCAAGCCAACACGTCCCTTCCCTGCTCGTTGGTTGCAGGGAGCGTGCAGCAGACGCGGCATGAGCGTGGTTAGGGCAGCATTCGACGTGTCTGTGCGCCCATACACGCTGCGCAAAGGCGATACGCTGAGCAGCATCGCCGAAAAGCGCGGTGAGCACCGGGCTCGCTTACAGGGGGCGCACGCGCGCGCCTGCTCCCGTTCGGGACCCGCCCGCCCGCAGCGCGCGGCGCCGCATCCGTCGCCGCCAACTTTGGCGTCTGGTGCTGCGCGCGCGGCGTGCGCACTCTACCTTCTCCGCAGGCTTCACCATCCTGCAGATTACCAGCATCAATCACGATGTCAACCCGGATAAGGTGAGTCCCCTGCCTTATGGTTGATTGATTCGATTTGTCATCGCTGCCCGCCGCGCACCGTGTCGCACGCGGCACATCCCTACGCGTGCTGCCTTCGTCGGCGCTGGCGCCAGACGGGGTTTGCGCGCCGCGCGCGAGGAAGGCCCCGAGGGGCGGGCAGTTAGTGGCGGCGAAGAGGCTCGCGCAGAGGCGCGTCCGCCCCACCGCGCCGCGCGGCCGACGGGGAGTGCGAGAAACGGCGGCAGCGGCCGCGGCGGCCGCGGCGGCTGCGGCGGCGGCGACGAGGCCGCGAGCCATGCGGTTACCACCCTGTTTCGCGGCCCCCGCCGCCAGGTGAAGGAGGGGCAGACGATCCTCCTGCCGGCCAGCGGGCTGTCGTCGCGCGACAAGGAGATTCTGGAGGGCATTGGGTCCGTCTACAGGTGAGCGCCTGTTGGACTGCCCGTTCGACTGCCGCAGCGGGGTCGGCCGTGGGGGTCGCCGAGGGGACGGTGTGGGCGTCGCGGCGGGGGCGCGCGGGGCGGGTAAAGAAGGTGCGCTCTCACGCGGCGCCGCTGCCAGCGCGGCCCGCAGCGGGCGGCCCCTGGCCGCACGCCCCACTCCCATCAAGTAGAGTTGATGCCTCCTCCACCATGCGACGACGTGTGTCAGCACCGCAGCCTGCACTCCCTGCGCCGCGTCCTCGCCCCCCTAATCACCACCAACGCACACCCGCACGTGCTCATGGGCACTCCTCGCCCCTGCACACGCCCATGCAACTTCCGCGTGTGCCCCTTTCAAAAGGATCTACCCCGTGCGCAAGGGGGAGGCGCTGGAGGATGTGATGACTAAGCGCAGCATCACCCGCGCGGAGATGGAGGCGCTCAACGCGAACATCAACCTCGACAAGTTGAAAGGTGCGCGTGTTGCTTTTTCTGTGTGTGGGGTGTGTGTGGGGG